GGGGGGGGGGGGTCTTGGTCTGCTCAGCTTTGTACTGCAGCTTTTCTAGCAAATCAAGATGGAGAGCCATCCATGCTTCTTCGCCATCTCTTTTTTCCTCCCTCACCACAGAGGTCAAGGCTGGTTTCCTGTTATTCTGGCCCTCTGTGTTAATGTCTGTTGCTCAATATCCACATCCATAAAGTTATTTCTCTCTTGTTCTGCTGTGACAGAGTCAACGGTCCATGACTGTCGCCTGAGAGGTCTTGGTATAAATCACACTGACTGCATAAGCCTGTGCGTGTGTGTGTGCGTACATGCATGTGTCACTGGTCTCCATTTTTACGAGTCACCATAGGATATGAAGAACATTCATTTTGCCCTCTTGACCCCGGAAATGCCAATGGCCTCGCTAAGCGGTTTGCTGGTAAATGAGGTATAGAAGAACCATTCCATTCCCTGTCCTCTTTATCTACTTATATCAGTCCCCTCCATTTCCCATTCCATGAGAAGACATGTTTATGGATGCTGGTGATTTCCATTTAGATGTTAGGTATGAGGGGGAGATGTGAATAAAAAACATTAGGGGACATTAGGGAGGACAGAAGATGGGCTCAATTCATGAAAAGTACATATAATCAAATTTGATCCCAAAGGTTGCTTTAATTCTTAATGTGAAGTCAATTTCAATGGTTACACACATCATATTAAAGGGGTTTAAATGAATCTGTATACCTGAATAGACTACTGCTAATTACCATATTAACACTTTTATTAATTTATTAGGACTAAATTACCAGACTTAATAGGCACTTTTATTTAACTGGAAACATATTAAATATATTATAGGAAACTGATGTGAATGCTTATATAATTAAGATCAACGAGTACACAGCCAAAATCAATAATGGACAATTTGCTGTTAGTTGGAGAAAGCCCAATTTTGTGGAGCATGCCAATATCTGAGAGCGATGAGCAACTTACAGTATGATGCACTTTAAACTGCCCTCAGCTGTTCTCCTGGTTGTCTGCAGTACCCTGGAGCCACAACTAACAACGAAAGCAAAAGCTCCCATCTGGTAACTTCACATGTCCAGAGTCTGTTTGCTCTTTCTTTCGTAACCCTCCAGGGCATTCCAAAAAAAGATAGTAAAAGGAGACTAGGAGATTAGTTAACCAAATCACAGACATCCGTTTTCCGCATGTGTTCAATTGTGCACAGTACCATTAAGACATCACTACTACTGTGACCATTTTAGGGCATCTCAGGATCAGCTTGGCATTAACTATGTCCTGCTTGCATCAGTCTATTAGGCCTACTTTCTTAAGTTTAGCTCAACATGCTGCTTCAGCTCACTTTGCTATAAGTTGTCAGTTTCGGTTTATCAGCTTTACATTTAACCTGTCAGCACTAGGTGTAGGTAGGCCAGTGCATGTTAAGTTTATGTGCTTTATGCAAATATGTTATCATGCTAACATTAGCATGTTAGCAAAATTGTGAACTATGCACAGTAGAGTCTTATGGATGTGGAGATTAGCCTCACAAAGTAGAGCTTAGATTGATAAAGTAGAGTCCAGTAAAGAGCTGAGCCTTATAAGTTGAGCTTGAAATATACGTAACATTTTAATGTTGTTGTATTGATTACAGTCATTTCCATTGCTTGATGGACAGTCAACTCAAATATTTATAGACTACAGCTACCCTTACCAACAACATCCCAATTTAAGACTCTAGATGTGCGCATTAAAGTTTTTTCTCCATTGTTTTAAGATTTAGATTAAAATACTGTAAAAATATAATTAATTCAGGTTGGCAACCTGAACTTCCTAAATTAAGTTTCACTGTCTATAATTAGCCACCATAGCTGCACTGAGACTAGTAGCTGTGCTTGGAAGTTACTGGAGACTTTCAGGTGATTTATCTTTATTAGGGATTAAAGTAGGCCTTCGCAGGGCTGACATCCTGTATGCCTCCTTTGTCTGCTTCTTTTTGTCAGAAGTGTTTGAACACAAGAGCAGTAAGTCCAGACAGCAACTGTGACTGCTACTACACAAAACTTCTCAAAGGACTTTAACAATTGTGAAACAGGACGATTCTCTGACTGTCCAATCATCACACCATTTGCATTCATGAATGCAAAAAAGAAAATGTATATTTCAAAGTCGGGTGCACCACATGACATTAAATTGTTACGAATGCGCCCATGATGTGGGCACCCATAACAGTATTAGCAAGGCCAAAAAGGCATCATAAAGTTTGTGAGCAGTATACTCACAGCTCCATCCCACAAGCATTACATTATGCTAACAGCCCATAATCCAACTTTAGGGTAGCATTCACTGTGTTGTTTCACACTATGTTAACATTATGGTGATAAGAAAAAATGAGTCTGTTCCAACCCATCCTGTGGAGCAAAGTGGAATGAGTTTTATCTTGGAGAGAAAGTGGAGAGCTGCAAGTCGAAAACCCGGAGAGGCTGAGGAGTGAAGTGATGACAGAACACCTTAGGCGAGAATGAAAATTGTTCCTCCACTATTTACATGAGCGATAACTCACCATACGTGCAACTTATATATGACGAATGAAAGTATGAAAGTAATTGAAAGGTCACATGATGTGTCAGTCAAATGGTACACCGTGACTCCTGATTGTCTGTAACTGCACAAAAAGTAGAAGTACACGTAGAACACATATCTGATTGACTTGATTATCACTTCTTGTTTTGAACATATTCTGTAGTGTTAGCATCTAACTGGTCAGCAGAAATAAACATGACCTTAACTAAAGGGTAAAAGGGGAAACAACTTCTTGGAAGAAAAAAAACGGCATTTCTTCAAAAAGCTACTAAAGTTTATTTTTTCTTACTTAGAAGTTCAATTTGATGGATTCAGATTTCCTCAAATTGAAAAAAATGTTGCTGACATGGTTTGCTGTAATTTGCTGAGGTTATGTGTTCCATATTTTCAGTGTTTTACAGGACGTTTACAGATGGTATATTTGGTGGAAGTAGGGGATGAGGCTTGCTGTTGTCTGTGCGGTGCTGTTTATGTTAGCTAGCTACTTCTGCCAGTAAATTAAAGATCTCAAGAGGTGCCTGTCCATCTGTAATACTGTTGCCTCAACTTTGAGCATCCGTGCTGTGCCAACATTGCAGAGTACTGACAGGCAGTGGCAAGCCCTTGAATTTTAAATTTGTATCACACCTTAACTAAATGTTGATTTAGATTCAAGGGATTGAGTACCTGCGGCCCAATAACTGGCTGCCTTTTCACTCAT